AAAAAAAAAAAAAAAAAAAAAAAAAAAAAAAAAAAAAAAAGGCCAGGATAAATATTTTAAGCACAAATCTGTGTTCATATTTTCTACTATTTTCTTAACATAGGCTACCTAAATTCAGCAATTTTTCAAAAATATGTAAATATGTAAAAGATTTTTTTTTTTTAAGACAAAGTCTTGCTCTGTCACCCAGGCTAGTGTGCTGCAGCACAATTTGGCTCCCTACAGCCTCAAACTCCTGGGCTTAAGAGATTCTCCCACCTCAGCCTCCCATGCAGCTGGGACCACAGGTGTGTGACAACCTGCCTGGCTAATTACTATTATTATTATTATTTGGTAGAGATGAGGTTTTACGATATTGCCCAGGCTGGTCTTGACCTCCTGGACTCAATAAAGTTTTTGATATATATGATTTAACTGCTTTTCAAAAACTCTGAGCCAATTACACTTCTCTCAGCCAAATAAAACACCAATAATTTCAATTCAATTTTATGGATACCAGAGACTATCATTTTTTAAAATAGTCAATTTGATAGGACAAAATGTTTGCTTTTTACTTACTTGTAATTGATTCCTAGTGAAGCTGAGTACTTTATTCTTTCATATTTTTATTGATAATTTGTTTCTTAGTTTGAAAATTGCAGTATTTTCATTGATATGTTCATCTTTTCCTGATCAATTTATATGAACCTCTTCATAGCTTAAAGAAATGATTTGCTATATATGTTGCAAATATTTTCCCTCAGTTTCAAAATTGTACTTTAATTTTATTTATGTTTTCTTTTTTCAGTATGAAAGTTTTAATTTTTATGTAGCCAAATACCCATTTTTTTTTAAAGAAAATCATTTCTGCTTTTGATTTTCTACACATAAACTCCTTCAAGTCCTTTCTCCCCTCAATATTATATAAACCCATTTCAGTCTCTTTAATGATTTTTTTTACATTTGAATTTATGTATGTTTGGAATTCATTATGGTATACAGTATATGAGAATGATTCAAATTCCTCCTCCCCCAGATGGCTAGCCAGTTCCCTGCAATACTGATTCCCTAGTGATTTGTATATGTCATCTTTGGTAATATACCTTGGATCTGTTTCTGAGCAGTGTCTCCCACTGATCTGTATGTTCATTTCTGTTTCTACATTGTTTATTTATTTGACATACATTTATTGTCTACTACATACTAGGCATTTTACCTGGGGATATATTGCTCAGTACAATACTTTCTAAAACAAAGCACTAGTCCTGATGGTCTTTATCCAGAAAGAATGGCAAGCTAATCAAGAAATTTAAGCAGGAAGATAAAAGGAGAAGGATGAGGAGGAGCAGAAGGAGAGAGAGAGGGAGGTGGAGGTGAAGATGGAAAGGGAAAGGGGGAGACTGAGAGAACCCACTGATACTGGGTTATGTGGTTTCTGAAAGAATTGTGGAGAATGGCCTGGAAAAAAATCAATTCTTGATGCGAAATGATCAACTGGGAGGTTACTTAGTTCAGGTGAGAAGTGATGTTGTTTCTGATGAGAATGCCGACAATGGTGGTAAAGAGAAGTGGTCAGATTTGAGAGATATTTATGGGATAAAATGGTCAGACCTGGTGCTTAGCTGAAAGAAGGTACCTGTAAGACCATATGGAAATGCAGTTTTGGTTTGGACATAATTCCTTGTAACTTTGAATTAGAAATCATTTTAATGTAAATTAATAAAATTTCTACTTTCCATGAGTGGTTTTCCAGAAAGTATTTTATTTAATTTTAATGATATTCATATTAATATCAACTTTTTATAACCTACCTGACTGTCTTCTGTTATGCACAAATAGGTTCTGACTCATCAAAATCATTTTTTGGTTTGATTGTTTCTAGGTATACCCTTATCTACAACCTATCTCAATTGCAACTCATTCCATTGGCTGCTGCTAGCTCTTCTAAATATGATCAGATGGTGAGATTTAAATCTTATCAATAGAGTTGTCAGATTATTCCTTCTACTTCTGATATATTAATATCATACATGTCAATTAAAATTTTTTATATATGGAAAATTCAAACATGTTTCCTCAAGGTTTCCAGGCACATGCCAGTCACTACATGCCAACTCCAGACACTTATGCTACTGTATTACCACACTGGTTCCAAAGACTCAGTGGGGTAGAGTTTATAGGTATCTTGGGGACAGGTCCAGACAAGGATAATGTGGTATGTAGCCTCCTAAAACTACCCCATCTCATCCTGTTCTTAAGTATAAATCAGAAAAAAGTATATAAATAGAAAGTTTTATTATGATTCTCCATTTTTTTTTTGAGACAAAGTCTTGCTCCATTACCCAGGCTGGAGTATAGTGGCATGATCTTAGCTCACTGCAACCTCTGCCTCCAGGTTCAAGTGATTCTCTTGCCTCAGCCTCCCCTCTCAAGTAGCTGAGACTACAGATGCATGTTACCATCCTTGGCTAATTTTTGTATTTTTAGTAGACACGAGGTTTTGCCATGTTGGCCAGGTTGGTCTTGAACTCCTGACCACAGGTGATCTACCAGCCTTGGCCTCCCAAAGTCCTGGGATTACAACTGTGAGCCACTGCACCCAGCCTGATTCTTCATTTGTTATTTTAAATGAAACAGCAAATATGGAATTATGAAAGCATGTGCCAATATTAAAAATAAAATGCTGGGTGTGGTGGCTCACGCCTGTAATCCTAACACTTTGGAAAGCCAAGGCGGGCGGATCATGAGGTTGGGAGATGGAGACCATCCTGGCTAACACAGTGAAACCCTGACTCCACTAAAAATACAAAAAATTAGCCGGGCATGGTGGTATGCGCCTGTAGTCCCAGCTACTCAGGAGTCTGAGGCAGGAGAATTGCTTGAACCTGGGAGGTGGAGGTTGCAGTGAGCTGACAGCGCACCACTGCACTCCAGCCTGGGTGACAAAGCACGATTCCGTCTCAAAAAAAAATAAAATAAAATAAAACAAAATAAAATAACAGAGCATACTAGCCAATACTAAACAGAAAAAAGCTATGCTCTTGAAGATATTAATGGAAAACATTAAACTACTGGAATAATTGATAAAACTCTACTATTAAGAAAAAACTTGATTTGAAGCAAATACTATGATGTGCTTCTCTTGTGTAGAAAATGATTGCAAAATTAATCAACCCAGGATGAATGGGTATAAAATATATCTAGTATGAAAACATACAGGCCTTTATTACTTGTGAAATGATATAGATGCTAAATCTACAGGACAAAAACTTATAATTCTTTTTCAGATCAGTTTACTTAATGTTAACTATATGTGCTTTTATATCAAAATATAAATAGCTCCCAAAATAGTCATAAAAGCCTAATCTTTAGAAACATTTTCTAAGTAATTAGTTAATTTGTAGGCATGAAGATGTTTTAAGTAGTGGACTTCTAAAATTTAATTTTACACAAATTAAATCTGAGTATTTTTTTTAAGGATTCTATGTTAGCACAATTGCTTGAAATGATCCTTATGTGATACTTATGGTATGTCATAAGACTTTGAAAGAGTTCAGTTTTCAATAGAAGATAATAAAACTTACAGTTCTCCAGGGCTGTATGATTAGAAATGTGGCTCTTGTCAATCTGGTGTTCAGTTGCTACAGAAGAAAATTCAATGTTGCCAACATTCAAGATTGCAGTGAGTATGCTGTATATACTTCCAAGTTGCTGAAACACACCACAGAAACATTAGCATCATTTTTCCCTTGAGTACAGCCAAGCAGTGACTATGGCTGGGAACAGAATGGGAGAGAACCCTCAGTCTCTATCATATCTATCCACAGACTATGATGATGCCACACTGAGATCCAAGTAGGCTTGGCCTTATTCATTATTTTAACCTCAGAGGTTAGCATAGTGCCTGTTACCCAGTAAGTGCTTAAAAATATTTTATAAATGCAAATATCTATAAAAAATAAAAATAAGAAGCTGTTCTCAATAGATAAATCTATCCATGCAGAATTTAACTTCAGAACTTAGTGTGGTTGTTACCATATGGATTTTTATTGAGGCCATCTTAAAAGTGAGGCTATATGTGTGAATAAAGGAGAGTTAAGAAAGAAAAATCAAAAGATCCCAGCACCCAAATCAAAGGATATGCGTGGTTTATGTATAAGCATAAGACTTTTTTGTTTTTTTTTTTTTAATCAATGGCTCACTTGCTCAGGCTAAAGTGCAGTGGCACTGTCTCAGCTCACTGCAACCTCTGCCTCCTGGGCTCAAGTGATCCTCTCACCTAAGCCCCTTGTGTAGCTGGGACTACAGTTGCATGCCACCATGCCCAGCTAATTTTTTTTTAAATATAAATTTGTAGAGACAGTGTCTTGTCATGTTGCCCAGGCTGGTCTTGAACTCCTGGGCTCAAGCGATCTGTCCACACTGGACTCTCAAAGTGCTGGCACTATAAGTATAAACCACTGTGCCAGGCCACATAAGAAGTCTGGATGACAGTGTAGAGTTTATAGTAGTTATTACTTCTTTCCTATACATTCCTAAATAAGGTACATCAAATTACATTCAGAAACATGTATACACATACATATGATTCTTTTTGGAGACACTGAAGGCATATGTCAAGGAGTCTATGGTAATCCTAGCTCTTCAACTATGTTCGTGGTGCACTGAAGTACAGGAAAGAGACAAAATTCTTTATTGTTTTTACAAGTTGCTGCATCTATTCCAGCCCAGATTCTATACTTAATAAAGTGATTATTCCATCCTCTCTCATATTCCAAGTCAAGATAAAAGCTGGATGTGAAAAAAACATCTTCAAGGATATGCACTTACTCATACATACTACACATAAATATATATTTAACAAATATATAAACAACAAATATATTTGTTGAATTAATATATATGTGGGATATTTATTTATTGATTTAATTAACATATATTTTATGGCAGGCACTGTTCTAGTCACAGGTAATTCAGCAGCAGACAGACTGAAGATACTGGTTTCCTTGGGGTGTTCAGGCTGTGGGGAGGCAGACAGTAAGAAAATAAGCAAATAAATAAACATGATATGTTCAGAAAAATATTACAAGGGTTATGAAGAAAATAGAGCTAAGAAGTGCTTATTTAATAAAGTGGAACGTTCCTGGGAAAGGATGAGCAGGCTTTTTCAGTCAGGTCAGGGAAGGGTGCCCTCAGAGGAAGCAATGGTGAAGCTGAAGCCTGAATGACAGGAAGGCGCCAGACATGAACTTGAATCAGACTATTCTAGGCAGAGGACAACAAAAGTAAAGTCCTTCCTACAGGAAAGAAGGAAGACCCACGACGGCTGGAGCATGAGGAGGAACAATAGTACAGTAAGAATTCAGAGAGGTAAGCCTGGGCAAGACCACCGAGGCTCCCTGGGCTAACAGAAAGAGCTTAGAGCTGGGCATTGTGGCTCACGCCTATAATCCCAGCACTTTGGAAGGCCAGGGTGGGCGGATCACTTGAGGTCAGGAGTTTGAGACCAGACTGGCCAACATAGTGAATTTAGTATAAAAATTACTACATTTTTGTACTAAAAATACAAAAATTAGCTGAGCATGGTGGCATTCACCTGTAATCCCAGCTACTCAGGAGGCTGAGGCAGGAGAATCTCTTGAACCCAGGAGGCAGGGGCTGCAGTGAGCCGAGATTGCATCACTGAACTCCAGCCTAGTGACAGAGTGAGACTCGGCTGCAAAAAAAAAAAAAAAAAAAAAAAAAAAAAAGCTTTGGTTTGATTTTGTGCTAATTGCCATAGAAAGCTACCAGAGATTTCAGAGCAGGAAGCAAAATTATCTTTTATATTTTAAATCGATGAGTCTGGTTATCCTGTGAAACTGAGTGGATTGGGGCAAGATGGAAAACTCAGGACACTACTGCAGTGGTCTAGGTGAGAGATGACAGTGGCTTGGATTTAACAGTAAATGGTAGACATGGAAAGAAGTAAATGGATATAAGGTGTATTTCAGAAGTGGAACAATACATATGCTGATTGACTAGATGTAAATAATTTTTGTAAGAAAATTCTGTTAAGGATTTACCATTTGTAATATGTATAACTTGCAATGAAGCAACCAGTATGGGCTTTCATGGCTTTCAGGTGGAAAAATTCATACAGCATCTGACATTGTACTATATATTTCTTGAGGAAACTATGCACCTTAGGAAAAACAACAACAACAACCTATTAAAAAGTACCTTTCAGCTGATATTTAGTTGTGTCATCTGGTGTATCATACATTTCCCTGGGCATATTTCAGGTGTTACTCCTACTCAATTTTCATTATAACCTCTCTGAACAATTTAAAAGTGGGCAAAGGATATAAACAGACACTTCTCAAAAGAAGACATATGTACAGCTAACAATCATATGAAAAAAAGCTCAATGTCACTGACCATTAGAGAAATGCAAATCAAAACCACAGTGAGATACCATCTCACATCAATCAGGATAGCTATTATTAAAAAGTCAAAAAATAACAGATGCTGGTGAGGTCATGGAGAAAAAGGAACACTTCTACACTGTTGGTGGAAGTCTGAATTAGTTCAACCATAGTAGGATACAGCGTGGTGATTCCTCAAAGACCAAAAGACAGAAATACTATTTGATCCAGAAATTCCATTACTGGGTATGTATACCAAAATAAATATAATTTGTTCTATTATAAAGACATGCACACATCTGCTCATTGCAGCACCATTCACAATAGTGAAGACATGGAATCAACCTAAATGCCCATCAATGATACATTGGATAAAGAAAATGTGGTATATATACACTATGGAATACTATGTAGCCACAAAAAAGGAACAGGATCATGTCCTTTGCAGGGACATGGATGGACTAGGGGCCATTCTCCTTAGCAAAATAATGGAGGAACAGAAAACCAAATACTGCAGGTTTTCACTTACATGTGAGAGCTAAATGATCAGAACGCATGAACACACAGAGGGGAACAACACACACTGGGGCCTATTGGAGGGTGGAGGGTAGGAGGCCTGGCACAGGGTAGGAGGGAGAGGGTCAGGAAAAACACTGGGTACTAGGCTTAATACCTGGGTGATGAAATAATCTGTACAACAAAGCCCCAAGACACACTTTTACCTACGCAAACAAACCTGCACAGGTACTCTGAACTTAAATAAAAGTTGTTAAATGTGTTTTTTATCCTAGATAAGGATGTTACCAACATAATGAGTATAAGACTGGCCTATGAACTTGGAATTATATAATAAAATGATGCAGAATTCCATCATAAAGTGTAAGGGATTGGTTGAATCCAGTAAAACAGTGAAGAGACTTGGCTGTATATAGAGTTGCATCTACAAATCCTACCTATCCAAACCTGCAGAAAAATTGTTCAGAGAGGTTATAATGAAAATTGAGTAGGAGTAACATCTGAAATATGCCCAGAGAAATGTATGATACACCAGGTTACACAACTAAATATCAGCTGAAAGGTGCAGCTTGGGCTTCCCCATCTGGATCTGATGAGAATAGATCCAGATCTATGGCTTGGATTAAATGACCTTAAAACAGTGGTTCTCAATGTGGGAGAAGGAGTAACAACTCTGCCACCACAGACATTGGCAATGTTTGGAGACATTATTGGTTGTTACAAATGGGGTTGGAGTGCTACTGGCATCTACGGAGAAGAGGTCAAGGGTGCTGCTAAACATCCTACACCGCACAGGAGAAACCCCACAAGAATTACTGGACCCAAATGTAAATAATACTGAGGTTGAGAAACCTTGTCCCAGAGAAATGCAGGATCTAGATTCTGGACAAAGTCTCAACATTCTTTGTCCCCAAAGAATGGTCCTGAACTTTCAGTGTCAGCTCATAATCCTAGGAAAATATAAAAATAAGAATAGAGGCACTGAAGTAAATGAAATTTGTAGTATCTATTGTGGGTTGAATTGCGCCCCCCTCAGATTCATATGTTGAAGTCCTAACCCCCAGTACGCAGAATGAGGTCTTATTTGGAAATACGGTCATTGCAAATGTAAACAGTTAAGATGAGGTCATACTGGAGTAGGGTGGACTCTTAATCTACTATACTGGTGTCTGTTTAAAAGATCATGTGAAAAGACAGACACACACAAGGAGAACACAATGTGAAGACAAATTTAGGTGGAGATGGGGATATGCATCTGCAATACAAGAATACCAATGATTACTGGGGAAGCACCAGAAACTAGGAGCAGAGCATTGAGCAGATTCTTCCTCACAACCCTCGGGAGAAGCAAACCCTGTTCACATCCTAATCTCAGAATTTGAGCCTCTTGCGCTGTCAACAATAAATTTCTGTGGTTTAAGCCACCAAGTGTGTGGTAGTTTGTTACAGCAGGCCTAGCAAACTAAGCTTTTTTGTTAGATTTATGAATAAGGTATGTAATCTTGGAATAATCAATGTGTTTACTCTTAAATATCTAAAACTGTTAAGACAATATGTGAGACATAGTAAAGATCATATTAGTGACATAGTAAATCATCTGACAATTAGTCTTGTGACTTAAATTTAAATACTTATTTGATATTACACTTCTGACTTTTAATTTGAAAAGCAGAACATATTTTGATTGCAAACCGCATTCAAATGTAAAAGATAACTTGATTTACTACATTTATAATTTTGAATTATTAGATCTTCTTATACACTAAGTTTAAGTACATAAGAAAATTT